TGCAGCGTGCGGATAATCCGTCGCGATCGGCGAGTCGAGCATCATGTCCGGCGGCGGGGCCTCCCAGATTCGTATCGTCCGGTCGTCCGAGCACGACGCGAACATGCGCTCATTGCACGGGTTCCATGCAACGCAGTTCACGCTGCCCTCGCCAGTGTCCCTCCAGCACCTCCAACAGCACGCCAGTATCGCGGTGCCAAACATACACATTGCCGTCTGCAACGCAAGTTAGAAAGATGGAAAACCAAGAGCGGAGGAAGGTACCTTCGCTCCCGCTGACGACAAAATTGCTCTCGAATCCACCAAAACAGCTCCGAATGATATGCTTGCTCTGCCGTTGGCCGGTGTACTTGCGCACCAATCGTCCCATATTAAGATCCCATAGCTGGATATCCTGTGACTCGGTCAGCCGAAGCCAAGGAGCATCTACAAGGGAACGAACTGACATCCGGCGAGCGACTAATGAGTGCATACTGCGAGTTTTGCGAAACGCTCAAGCTCGTTAGTTCTCCCTCAAACAGTACTGAGCTAGAAGGAAGAAATCAGGATGCGGAAAAGACTAATAATTGGTTAGAAACGGACGACTCGTTCCGCCGCGACGCCATATCATAAACGAGCAACCTGTGTTGATCTTTCGGCGGGGGACTGGACGAAGTACCCCCGTTTGCACCGGCTATCGTCGAGTCGCTCTCCGCTCGCGAGTCCGTGGGCGACGGTGCGAGCATCCCGATCGCCACAAGCCGCGTGAAATCCGGTGTGACGACCATCTGCGTTATACGCACAGGCAGCATGCCCCAGGTTTCACGTCGTTGGCCTTCCGTGTTCTGTGGATGGGGCATAAGAGCGGCGATCTGAGCGGAGCATGCAGTCAACGTACCCATAGAACGACCTTGAAATCCATCCCTGCGGATAGGAAGCCAGAGTCGTCTGGAAGCCACGATATTGCCGTGACCGGCTCTGAGTGCTCCTCCAGCGTTCGTATACATACCCCCGTCTTGGTGGCCGATGAGTATGCGTCCAGCAGGTGAGATTAGCACGGACCTTGGTATTCCACATCTTTATGTGGGTCTCTGCTCCGGTGACTAATATCGTGTCGTCCAACGACCAGGCCAGAGATATTACAGGATATGGATGGCTCAACACATGCCGTTTCTCCCACTCCCGTATCGGCATTTCCGTTTCCGGCTACCGAGTCGCGCGTCAGTCGAATGATTTCGTGGACAACGAATAACGCACCCCAATCCCCCAAATAATAACCGACTTATCGCTGCTTGTACTCGCGAGAAAATTGCCGTCGCGACTCCAGTCCAAAAGCCACACCTGGTCAGTATGAACCTCAAGTATCGTTGTCGTGACGCGCGGGAACCCTGTCTTATCACATTGGTGGTCCGCAAATAGAGAAAAGCCCGATGAGGTCGTTGGAATATTGTGGTACACGCATTGTTGCCGCTGGTAGGCGTTTGCTTGGTGTAGCAATGTCGAGAATCGTCGTGGAGGAACCATTACCGATGGGGAGATATAGCCTGACAAAAGTGGTAAATATTTAGGAAGACATGGCCAAGGCCTGACGAACGATGTAGGTTGTCTAGCAGTATTCGTCTCGAATTTCCTGCTGCCCCATCCCATCCTGCGCGATGTCGTAAATCCTCCGGTTCCGAACACATCATTAGGCTGAAAAAGAGTTGGCCTGCTACTTGGAGTGAGCTAGCGGGAACATACCTAGAGAGTATGTGTAGTTGATCTGGATCCACATCCAACGGTGCGAGTTCATTCCGCAGAACCTGCAAGCGCATCAGTGGTCTTCTGTGCCTCGAGCAGTTCCAGATATTTCTGCTGGCTTATTAGAAACCGCGCGTCCTACGCAGAGTCGAGGAGCATTAGTTAGCACGTAATAGCGCATTCAAGCAGACGTACCCAAAGCCCCTCGCGATCCTGAACACCGAGACGCTGTAGTGCGTTCTCCGCTTTAGACCACCGCGCCTCCAGGATGAACCGACGGAAATCGGCGACTTCTTGCGTTTCCATCGCGTACCCGGACTCTGCCTCCAAGGTTGCGGCGCTCTCACTAGGCGTCGTCGATAAGCATGTCTAGCGCAAAATCCACGAGCAACGCACATGTAGCCAACATCCCGGAGGCTTTGTATAACGAGCCGCACAAACTCTTCCCGGTCCACATCCGAGTCGTCATATAGACTCGAGCCGGGCAGTGTCACGCGCGCGACCGAGAGCGAATGCGAGGCCGCAGACGACTGCTTCGAGTGGCCGTTGTGCTTCTGCACACCATTGCCCACTGCATTAGCAATTGGGGCCCCGTTGGTGATTGCGGCGAAGCCGTTCCCATTCAAATGGCCGTTCGAGTGATCGAGACCGAGCGACGACGGACCGGCCACTGCGTCGTGCAAGGGAGCTGAATCCTCTGCTTGGTCCGAGTCAGGAAAGCGCATGGTGGTGTTAGTTCGTGTAGAAGAAGGATCGATCGGGGGTGTAGTGGTTGTGGACGTTGGACTGGCGATACGCTGGCGCTTGCGAGCGCGTGAGGGCTCCGGCTCTGGGTCGGGAGGTTAGTCAGTATATTACCCAAGCAGCTGGGGGAAACGGTACCGGAAAGAGCGGGTTCGGACGGAGGGGAAGGGCTGGAATAGTCGAGCTCTGACCTGGGGCGGGTTGTAGGAACGAGCGATGCCACAGCGGGGGAAGGCTCCCGCGTACGACGGTGGCTACGAGGATCAATTGTGACGAGTCGGCGTACAGGCTAGATGGTGGAGGAAAGACAAAGAACTTGCTCCGGAACGATCCTGCTACTACATAACAAAGTAAGGCTAACAACCAAATTCCTTCACAATAACAGTCGCGAATTCTCATTTACACAGCGATGGATATATCTGCGATACATGCTCAGTACCTGCTACTACCTTGCTATCCGTGAGCTCCTCTGTCATTGCGGCCCTTCGGTCCGCATCACTGCCTCTTATCATCAGGGTCTACCAGGCGGTCGGAGGGCGTGCATTGCGGGTACATATTGCGTGACATACATGCAGTTAAAGCGAGGAGATGGGCGAAAGGGAAAGCTTGCTCAAAGGACTGCAAGAGAACACGCCGAGTAACTTGCCAGATCAATGCTGAAATGGTTCCGGGTCAGCAGGGCCCAGTAGCAGGTTGTCAGGTTGGCGTTATCCTCCTGAAAATCCATGTCGGAGTCGAACGGGTATCGATGTCAATTAAATAGTGAAACGCCCATCAAGCCGAATGCAACGATCCCAAGAAACGACCCATCATGGTTGGACTATAGTCAGGGGTGGAAACAACAAAGAACGATCCCGGTGCGGTCGAAAAATCCAGCAAACGGCAGTGACAGGAAGCCAAAATCGATATCCTTGCCCTGTCAGTCTTCTAGAAGGTCGAGCAGCAACCAGCTTTGACGATGAGAATGTTTTCGCAATGAAGAGATGCGGCCAAAGAGCACTTAGACTGGGACAGATGATGGACGAAAGCAAAAGATCTCGAAGGTGTGGCTGTGTGCTCCGCACGCTCATGTTTCCGCTTTTGTCTCTTGTCGACCTACCTCTATTGCAGCATGAATTCTTGAATGTCGCGTCGCTACAAGTGCGACTTTTGTCAAAGTCGAACCACACCGCTCGAATCTTTTCGGAACCGGCTGCTTGAGAGACGATTGGACGTTGGGCTGAGCGCTGATCTGTGGCTTATCGACGTCTAGCTGCACCCAAACACAGATTATACGTTCCCGTAGTACTCGGTCCGCCGAGGATCATCATCACTCGTCAAATTGCACCACGAGTGGGTGATAATTCAGTGATCGGTTCGCACTCTCCCTCTTGCTGCCTATTCTGCTGCAGAGCCAGATGCACCCCTAACATCTCTCGGTGTTTGTATGGCCGACCCGCGTACTTGTATCTCCAAATTCACGCCAGAGGAATCGGATCCAACAAATCCACTCAGGTTGAACTTCTGTCCAGTGAGCACTCCTCCAGTGCGGAATGTCTACATTCCCCTCCACACCGCATTGAACCTGGTTGAAATTGTTCCTCGAATTCCGAATTTCGATCGAGTTGTTCAGCGTTCGCTGCCTTTCCGTGACTTCTTGTAGCAATGTATCCCAGACAGATAATTGAACACCGTTGTCCTGCTTCAGTGGCTCGCATAACTCCCAGCTTATGATTACTGACCGCCTCCGCCTGTCTTGGGCGCAGTTCAACTCAACAGATTCTCGTCTTGTATACATATCGTTGCGTGTTGTAACTGGATAATACTTGCAGCAGTCTCGAATTTTTTGAGTACAGCCGCTAGAACTCGACCTACCTAGATAGCCGTCTGGTCAAACGCGAAGATTTCGCCAAGTTTTTTTGTCTTAGTGCAATTTTTGCCTTTCATACTACTTCCGAATCCGGAAAGTGTTTACATCAAATATTGATGGGAAGCGATGGCAGTCTTGAAACCTTCCTGGAGGCCGCAATTCTCATCCAAAAAATCATGAAAAAAAATGCAGGAATGTAAATGGGAAATGAGAATAGGAGCCTGGAAATGAGAAATGGGAATCGGGAATGTGAATGGGAATCAGGAAATCGGAATTGAGAATGGGAATTGGGAAATGGGAATTGGGAAATGGGAAATGGGGAATGGGGAATGGGAAAGGGATTCGGAAATGTGAATGGGAATCTGGAAATGTGAATGGGAATCTGGAAATGAGAATGGGAATCGGGATATGTGAATGGCAACCTGGAAATGAGAATGGGAAACGGGAATACGAATGGGAAATGGAATGGAATGGGGGAAATGGAAAAAAAGGGCAGTAGAATACGTAGATAGGTGGGATTGAAAAGCGGAATCCTGGTTGGGCCCCGCTATCCCGGTAAAGCTGTCGAGTTAGGATGGAGGTGCAGGATATCAAGGTCCAACGACCCAAGATAAAAAATGCAAAAAGAGGGGCCCAGCCGGGAATTGAACCCGGAACCTTCATCCTAACTCGATGAATTAACCAAAAAGGGCCCAACCGGGAATTGAACCCGGGACCACACACAGTCACGTGACCATCGGATCACCGGTATTAACCCGAAGCGTGTATCATACTTCTAGACCATTGGGCCGATGGAATGGCCCGGAGTGCATTTGATATGTGTGTTCCTCAACTTATGGAGACCATATTAGGCTCAGCCGCTCACATCTGGAAAACCGTAGCCGAGCCATATTAGAACCATAGTGTCATAGCAGCCATAGTGTCCTATAGCACTGGATAGTACTATGTGGTTGCGCACTAGGCACTATGCAGCACTATGCAGCACTATGCGGGTTTGTACTACACACTATGCACCACTCGCCAACCACTCGCTGTCAAATTTGGGTAATTTCCGTCATTTCCCGTCCTCGTACGGATAATAGGCAACTTGTATTATTTTATGTACAATATCAATGATTCAAATGTACTTTACGGAGACAGCCGTTTCGAAACACGAAATTCCAAGATAAGAAACGACACGCGGTAACCACCTACTGCATTGTCGCACCACATCGAAATTGAGCTGGAGCGTGGTGGTCCAGATAGAATTCGGAGTGCATTGACGTGCGTAAGTATCAGATTCAAGGCGAGCTAAAAATGTGGTCAAGACGATACTCGTTGTGAGGGCTGTATGCGCCCTGCGCATGCCCTCTCGTCACAAAGGAGCTACAAACGACTCCATCAGGAACGATGAAGCTCCAACACCAGATGGATTTTCCCGGAAAATCGGTTCAAGTTGCACCCAAAACGTCGCCATAAATCACATTCATTGACCCAAGACCATCATACTCTAAAAAGCCAATAAAACCTGCAAAACCAGGCCCACGAAGACACGAATCGTCCGGATTTTCCCGGAAAATTCACCTATGACGGCCGAATTCAACAAATCTTCTGGAATAATTCTGCCATAACCTAACCTACCAGCACCTTCTAAACCCAACCTAAACCGAACCCGTCGCTCAGGCCACCCACGAGACCCAATAGGCAGTGAATCACCGGATTTTCCCGGAAAATTCACCTATGACGGCCGAATTCAACAAATCCTCTGGAATAATTCCGCCATAACCTAACCTACCAGCACTTTCTAAACCCAACCTAAACCGAACCCATCACTCAGACCACCCACGAGACCCAAATTTCCCGGAAAAATACTGCGACTTGGCAGAAAGAGCTGCCTCGTCTACGGCATCTATCGACCACGAGTACGTCGGGGAGCACTGCGTTCTCTGAAACACGGAAGCAAGGCCAAAAGCAGCGGAACCAGGTCATTTTCCCGGAAAACATGGTTGCACGACCATGTGGACCCCCAAATCTGTACTCAGGACCGGTGTGGGGACCCGCAGTGACTCGGGAACCGACCGGGACCGTCTACTGACTCCTTCAGACTCGGTTTTCTCCACATGGTGCGCTCAAAACGGAATAAATGAGGCATATTTTCCCGGAAAATCCTCTCTCACCTTGTCAATTTCGGACGCGGGAGACGAGTCGGCCGGACCTTACGAGTCATGGACGACTAGGGAGCTCCAAAATGGTATAAAGAGGGTACTAGTAGCCTAGTTTAGGTAGCGAACCTCCGGGGGTCAGATTCCCTCCCACTTGTAACAAAGCGTTCTGCACCCCTTCAATTGGAGTTCCCTCACACACACACACATTCTCTCTTGCTTCGCAGAGGCATTATAACTCCCACCCTAGGAGCCTTCTCCAAAGAGGCTCACACACACACATTTACGACACTCAAGCCCAGTGCACCTTCCTGCGCGAACTCATCCTTCTGTAGCAGTGGGAACGGACTCGAGGAAAATTGGCAAATCGTCGACACGACTGAAGTCGTACCCTGGCGAATTACCCCTCCAGGAATACCGCACAACTCTGTTGACGTCGCAGTCATCTTTGAAACCATCCCCTTGGAAGGATTCTCTCGATAAACCACGCGTACTTGAGGCCATAGGAGGGCAAGTCGCTGTGTAAACTCGAAGAAGAAGGCTACGGACCGTTCCCGCCTAAGGATCATCCCTAGGAGCGCGATATTTTCCCGGAAAATCCACATTTTCCCGGAAAATCCGACGAAGAAAACGGTTACATTTTGTTCTTTTGACCCATTTTTGCTAACATCCCAAGGAGCATACATCCCATTTCACGTTCCACCTACGCCCCACGTTATAAAGTGGATTCCACCCAATAACAAACCCCCTTTGGCTGAACGACGCTACCCTTGACCACCACCAGCTCACTGCCATAGCACCGCGGTCCTTATCACACCGTATGAAACAGTGAATTAGCAACATACACACCTTCATTCAGGTTCCTCTCGACAGACATCGCAGGGGTTCTCGCCGTGTAGCCCGTACCTCACCCCGCGTATACCGGCCCTTCTGATTGCAGCCCGAACCTGGCCAATGTCGTTGGATGCAGCGGAAAGGCTGTGGTCAGCCGTTTCGAGCTCATTCCGCAATATTTGAACGTAGAGCAAAGCTTCATGAAGCTTTTTGAGAGCCAGATTTTTGTTTAGCTCACACGTATTTTGGTGTACCCGCACAAGGTGGAGGAGCTGCTCCGCCTCTTGAGCGGTACTAGGCACGGTCATGTCGTGTAAGAATGATAGGGTCTGCATCGGGAGTTACGGAAGAACCGACTCATAGGGCACTGTGACGCACTATCTTTTGGGTCCCTACTGGAAGGTCGACATGCGCGGATGAGGCTGGCTCCATATTTCCCCCGCAAAAAAAAATTAGGTCCGAGTGCTGCGTCGGATTAAGAAGGATTTGGCGCAACCGTAGGATGAGCGTGGGCGCAGGAAACGAAGCGACAAGTTGACGCCAGTGGAGGACAAAGAGAAAGGTCCGATCAAAGTCGGCGCTCGCACGTGCACAAGCAACCACAAATAGTTGGTTCGTCGTCACTTCTTTCTTCCCTCCCACCACCACCATCCCGCAGGTCCCTCGTCTTCCTTCCTTAACCACTCGTTAAATCGGCCTCAGCTGCAATCGCGTTGCTACAACTCACCCGCCCAAGCCGCTGTACTTGCCGGATCGACTCAGTCGCTGAGTGGCAGTTAAGTGCTCTCATTTCTCATCTCGCGCTTCACTGACGAGAACACCGTTTATCGGGGGTGCCAGCTAGCGCGTTCATGACGAGGAAGGTTGCGCCAAGACCCTGAAGGAGAAGGCCACCGACGCAGGACCGCGCGGCCTCAATACACCGGATGTATCGAGGAGGCGCTCGCCCGCTCACTCGCGTGAGAGTGGGAACTGGGAGCACAGTGGAGCTTGCGAAGAGGGCGATGTGTATGTGGCGTGGATGTGCACGGGGGAGATTGTTCTCAAGAGGTGAGCCGTTCATGACTTCGCGTCCCATTTTTCACCTCGGATTTTCTAGTTTCCCACCCACCCATTGCGGTCCCAGTTTCGATTTGCCACTGATAGTTTGTGCTTGCATGCGCGAATATTTTGTGTATCGCTAGTGCGTTTTTTCTCTCCTTGTTTTTCTGCATTGTGCTCATGCGATCCCAGCGCCCGCTCCCGGATTGCCATGTGTGCTCACTAGATGACTTTGTGAGGGGGTCACCTGGTATGTCCCACGTAGCGCTCATCATCCAGCTTACCCACCATTCCATTGAGATCGATATCCACTGGAGGCTAGCTTCTAGTATATTGATGCCGAGGCGGCAGCGCCACACACCACCCCACGACGGTACGTGCAAACCCTCGTTTCTAAATCGCACCGTTAATTTCCCTCGCAGACTGCCGATGGCTCTCTTCCTCCACGAGTGGATGCCGGTGTTGCGTCGTGACTTGTCCAGTTTTGTCCAGGTATGTGATTAATCCTGGGCTCGTTCCGGCGCATTCTCATGCCAGGCAAAGGTCAATTGCGGCGCAATGATCTCAACGTGGACGCCAGGTCATTTGGTACAGGGAACGGTGAGGGTGAGGGTCTGGAAGGTCATTTACGAGTCGTGTTTACATATTTAACATTCAATATAACAATTTTATCCTCATTATTGCTGGTTGAGCGCGGGTTAGCAAGCAGAAGAGCCCAATAGATGCGGCTGGCCTGCACTGCATAGTACTCCATAGTGCTTCCATAGTCCTGCCGTAGTCATACCAGGGGCCACTATGCAGTGCTGCATAGTGCTGCATAGAGGGGATGTAGCTATGAGTACTATGGTGCTATGGAGTACTCTCAAGTGTAAACCTGCCAGTTTACGACATCTCCCATTGTCCTTATATAGGCGTGCGATTGATTAGTACCATCTAATCAATTATCTACCTTTTGGTGTAGCGGTTATGAACGCGCCTCTGGCCTGCTTACATTAATTGATTAGATAACGTTGGCAGAAGGTCACAAGTTCGATCCCAGCCAGTGACACCATTTACCACCAAAATGGATACAGGTCACTGGACACCGTGGGACACCGGAAGTGACCTTTGCAAGCCAACGGCAGGGATTGCAACCCTGGGGCTGATTTATAAGACCTGGTAACCACTGGAAAACCCATAAAGTCTCTCTCATAACAATGGGAGGAGAGAGAAGGGACAAAGTTTCCAGAGAGGGGAAGGGTGTAAACCTGCCAGTTTACGACATCTCCCATTGTCCTTATATAGGCGTGCAATTGATTAGTACCATCTAATCAATTATCTACCTTTTGGTGTAGCGGTTATGAACGCGCCTCTGGCCTGCTTACATTAATTGATTAGATAACGTTGGCAGAAGGTCACAAGTTCGATCCCAGCCAGTGACACCATTTACCATCAAAAATGGATACCGGTCACTGGACACCGTGGGACACCGGAAGTGACCTTTGCAAGCCAACGGCAGGGATTGCAACCCTGGGGCTGATTTATAAGACCTGATAACCACTGGAAAACCCATACACTCTCTCTCAACGATGGGAGGAGAGAGAAGGGACAAAGTTTCCAGAGAGGGGAAGGGTGTAAACCTGCCAGTTTACGACATCTCCCATTGTCCTTATATAGGCGTGCGATTGATTAGTACCATCTAATCAATTATCTACCTTTTGGTGTAGCGGTTATGAACGCGCCTCTGGCCTGCTTACATCAAGCACTATAAAGTATGACCCCGTTTTCACCTAAG